TGGGTAAAATAGCAGAACAGTCTGGGTCCTATTTCTTTGGATGGCAACCAGTCTAGGAGAAAGAAACATCTGAATTCAAACCAGTCTGCTGCCTTGTAAGGCAAAGGCTAGAAGATGGTAACTTCATGGAACAAATCCACCTGGAATATCGTCTCGTAGAAAGCAGCTGCCCGCTCTTTCTACGATCCGCGACAGAAAATAATAGACTTCTCAGGTTTAGCAACATTGTTCGAACAAACACAAGACTGAGATACGGTATAGTGCCAAGGACCTCTCTGAGTTCGGACAATCCGCGTGTATTACCACTGCCCCTTTTAACTAGACGATTCTCCACACTGTTGGGTGGAGCTTCAATAATTCAGCTTAGATCAGTAAGGTACAAGGAAAAATAGAGTGAGCATTTTTGTGAGTAGTAAGTTCGCTAAAATGGTAACAGATTACGAGATTATTTGAATGACTGATACATATCTGCTTAGTATCCAAAAATCTTCGCCAATTTACTAGTGGGCAATGATCCTACTGGTATTGATGGCTTCAGCGCCAATAACATCTCATAAATATTCATGAAAGGTTTTGAACTTTTCCTGGAATCAATTTCCGGTCTCGTTTACATTTACCCCCGAGGAGCGTCGAGTGAATGATATGACTTTTAAGCGAAATAGTGTTCGGGAGGATAATGTGCAAAGGGGTCAGCCGGCTGCGCGACGCACGAGCTACCCGTGTGACCGGAATCGTGACAGCCTGAATGGCAAAGCTACGATTTGGATTTCTCGCCTGTAAGCTATAGTAAAGTCCAGGACGCCATCAATCTGATTACTTTCAACTGATAAACCACTTGGTTGGAATAGATGACGTACATAGGTCATTAAAAAAATAAACCGGAGTGCAGACATTTTGTGATGTGTTCCTTCAAGACATATGACGGTTCTTCATAATTAGCATTCGTTTGTATCTCTAAAAAACCTTTGACAACTTCCTGTCCCTTCCAAGTCGGTGTTCTACCATCCATTTACACAAACAAATGACGATAAACTGCATCCACGTTCTGGGTAAGACGAAGTACTACATCCGCGTCCTGGGTATGACGGTAAAGTACGTCCAACAGCAAGGCTTCTGATCAGGTTTTGAGCAACGTGGAACCACCTCTTAATTGCTGGTGTTCCCAGGCCCACCTTGACCCGAGGTTGTAGCACCTGTTAGGGTCCCAGTTATGGGTAAATAGTTAAGACGCAAACTTGGGTCATAATACTATTAAAACCTATTTTTACACTTGTAAAAATAGGTTTTATTACAGTAAATACTATGTAAAAAAAATTATAACCATTAATAATCTTTTGAGGGAAAAATTATTATCAGCAATACTTAAAAAAAATACCAGCGATAAAAACAGCTATACATTTTTTGGAAAAAATATTGCGAGCTATACATTTTTTGAAGGAAAAATATTACCAGAAACAGATTTTTGAATAAAAAGAATATTACCAGAATCACATTTCGAAAAAAATTCCCAGCAATAAAAATTGTCGGCATTAAATGACCCATTGATGTTGGTCTGTTGTAAAACAAACCGAAACAAACAGGGGTCAAAACTCTATGAAAGTATTTTTGAAGAAAAAATTATTGCCAGCCAGATATTTTTGAAAAAAAAAATATTACCAGCTATACATTTTTGAAAAAATATGACCAGCAATACATATTTGAAGAAAAAAAATTTCCAGAAAAAGATTTTTTGAAGGAAAATGTATTACCAGAAATATATTTTTTTAAAGGAAAAAATATTACCAAAAATAGATTTTTCAGGAAAAAATATTACCAGAAATAGATTTTTTGAAGGAAAAAATATTACCAGAAATAGTTTTTTAAAGAAAAATATTACCAAAAAATAGATTTTTTCAGGAAAAATATTACCAGAAATAGATTTTTTGAAGGAAAAAATATTACCAGAAATATATTTTTTTAAAGGAAAAATATTACCAAAAATAGATTTTTCCGGAAAAAATATTACCAGAAATAGATTTTTTGAAGGAAAAAATATTACCAGAAATAGTTTTTTTAAAGAAAAAATATTACCAAAAATAGATTTTTCAGGAAAAAATATTACCAGAAATAGATTTTTTGAAGGAAAAAATATTACCAGAAATAGATTTTTTTAAAGGAAAATATTACCAAAAATAGATTTTTCAGGAAAAAATATTACCAGAAATAGATTTTTTGAAGGAAAAAATATTACCAACAAATAGATTTTTTTAAAGGAAAAAATATTACCAAAAATAGATTTTTCAGGAAAAAATATTACCAGAAATAGATTTTTTGAAGGAAAAAATATTACCAGAAATAGTTTTTTTAAAGAAAAAATATTACCAAAAATAGATTTTTCAGAAAAATTATTACCAGAAATAGATTTTTTGAAGGAAAAAATATTACCAGAAATAGATTTTTTTAAAGGAAAAAATATTACCAAAAATAGATTTCTCAAGGAAAAAATATTACCAGAAATAGATTTTTTGAAGCAAAAAATATTACCAGAAATGGATTTTTGAAGGAAAAAATATTACCAGAAATATATTTTTTGAAGGAAAAAATATTACCAGAAATATATTTTTTTAAAGGAAAAACAGTACCAAAAATAGATTTTTCAGGAAAAAATATTACCAGAAATAGATTTTTTAAAGGAAAAAATATTACCAAAAATAAAAATCTTGTTGACATTAAATAACCCATTAAGGCTGATATGCCGTAAAACAAAACAAAGGAAACTAATTCAATTTTCCCTTTTCATCGACAAACAGTTCAAATTGCATAAGGATTTATCTTGTATTTTTCAGCACTTTATTCATTTTAAACAATTTTAATATTGGTGGAATTTCTGCCGTACCCTGTATAAGAATAGAACTATTTCAACAGTAAAACAGTGAGATCTACTTGCCAATCAAGTAGTACGTTTAAATTTATACAGTTGATGTAGCAAGGAGGAGAGGAATATTTATTTTGAAAAATACAAAAATGTGACAGAAGGTCAAAAGAGGGGCTAGGGAAAGCCTGGTCTTCAATCTGTCTTATCTTAAACTTACCTAGCCACGATTAATGAATCAAAAAGATCACAGTATTCCTTACAGCAAAACAGCAGATTCTCACTTACCATTCTTACTACAGCCACCTCAAAGTGTCTATGAAGTCCCAACTAGTTTCCATATGCACTGTAACGGCTCTGTTGAGCTATTATCGCTGGTTTCCAAACTGCATGAATAGAAACGTGTTACTAGGTTGGCGTTACGGTCCCACTCTTTCACTATCGAAACGGTTAAATGTAGCCGTTTCTTCTACTCCAACAGCTTCACATCTCGCACTTCCTGTCTGTGGAACTCCCTTCCTTTTATTTGCTTTCTTGACAGTTATAGTCTTCAAATATTCTAATGTAATGTCAATCGACATTGTCTGATGATTTTATTCCCTGTCCTTCTCTTTATCCTTTCCTCAATTGCTTGAGGTGAAATGCTTAAAAAATTGGAACAATTTGCCTACCAATAAGGAGTGCTAATTAAAACAACTAAAACTGAAAATATTTAGAGAAAGTAGATAAGGAAGCCATATTATAGCCGTGGAAAAGTGACTGAATAAAAAATGATTTATGTATTACACGAAGCATAAAAAAAATTAATAAAGCAAAGCCATATTTTTCCGATGATCAGATTGATTGAATAAAACAAAAGAATATATATATATATATATATATATATATATATATATATATATATATATATATATATATATATTTCTGAAGTTTACTGCTACCAGCAAGCAGAAATATTTCTCCTCCCGATAATGGCCATTTTGGCCGAAACTCGTCGAGGAATCTAAATGAAATAATAAAAACGAAAGAATATTGATCTACAACCCAGTGTGTCTAAAGATTTAGATTGTTCAATATATATATATATATATATATATATATATTACATACGTTATATTAATTCTCAAGTTAATGAATGAATACGCTCCTAGCCAGTTCGATGATTCCAAATTAACTGGAAATTCCTGTTGTGCGTGATTGTAAATTGGAACTGATGTATGATGGCTTTCCATAACTACCTCTCGTTTGTAGCTCATAGAAAACTTTACCTCCTTACTCTCCCTTTTAGTTCTTGTTTTAACATCCATTTAAACAAACTAGTTATTTATATTAGTCAATGTTTCCTCAGAATCGACAAATATTTCAAATTCAGTTCGAGCCTGCTTGGGCTTCTTCGACGATCATTATTCTCCACAACGTCCTGTGCTTTGTAGCTTTTAGTAAATTTTGTGCTTTCGCTATCGACTTCTATTGACTGTCCTTCCAACCATTTACACAAGCTCGTTGTGAGTGACTGTGACTTGGAACTGGTTATTCACTCTTCCTATTCTCCTGATTTGACTATCATCTGTTCCCCAACATGAAGAAAAAAGAAACACTTGGCTTTGAACCATATTCCCAGTGATGATGACGTTATATCTGCTATTGATGAATTGTTTTGACCAACATGGTGAACAGTTTTCTTTGAACAGTCTGATGCCAGTTTACCTGGAAAAAAACAATGTCGTTAATAAGAAGATTTGAAATTGATTCAAGGCAAGATTTTACAGCTCTAGCATCACTCTTTCATAATCAGCCTATGAACTTTTCCGCCCATCCTCATCTAACATCTTCTTGTCTTATATTGTATTCTTGTATAATACAATACTTTTATGTAATGATCTAGTCTAGTATTATACTATTGTTTTACTAGAAATAGTCGTGAAAATTTCACGGTTTTTCTATTTTCATATTCTGATGTAGCTTAATTTTTCAGCTCATGGCGAGTTCAATGTCAATAAAATATCCGTAGAATTTCTCCTATCATGTCGTTAAATATTTGAGCTTCATATCTTTAGCAAAATATTGCAATAACAATCAGAGAGCAGGTCGTTATTTTAAGTAAGGGGGTACAAATGAAAAAAACTTTTTTTCATTTTCACTGAAACAGATGTTAAATACTTATATCTTCTTTCTTTTCTTTAATTATCTCATTAATTCTTTCTTACTTTCTTTCTTTTTTTTTCTGTCTTTCATTCTTTCTTTCTTTCTTTCTTTCTTTCTCCACGTTAGTGTCTTTATTTCTTTTTCTACGCTAGTTTCTTTCTTTCTTTCTTTCTTTCTTCTTTCTTTCTTTCTTTCTTTCTCCAAACTCGTTTCTTTATTTCTTTTTCACGCTAGTTTCTTTTCTTTCTTTCTTTCTTTCTTTTCTTTCTTTCTTTTCTTTCTTTCTTCACTCTAGTTTATTTATTTATTTATTTATTTATTTTTCTACGCTAGTTTCTTTCTTTCTTTCTTTCTTTCTTTCTTTCTTTCTTTCTTTCTTTCTTTCAGTTACTCACTGAAACCAAGTAGCGTCTCTGATATACTTTTTAGGACTTTCCACGCGATCAAAACTGTATAGTCCATTATTTAAGAGGCAATGGCATGACGTAATGGTCGTGATAACCAAGGTGGAAGGAGAAGCATAATTATAAAGAGATAATACAATATTTTTATCTAAGACTGCATTGTATAATAATCCAATAGTCTTAGCTAATATTGTGTTAATATATAAAGCAAGCCTTATCCGATCATGATGAACAACAACATTGTGAAACTTTTAGTCGGTTACAGATTAGTGTTGTGAAATTTATTATTTTTTGGTGTCTTACTCCTCCCCCCCCCTGTTACTACTACTACTATATTAATACTACTGCTACTACAAATAATAATAAATGTATCGATATATATGCATTAGTGGATGTATCTTAAACATGTCGAACCAAATAGCAAAAATCTGTAAGACAAAGTCGAGGCGCTTCGAGGATTCGGTGCGCTGAGCACCATTTGTCTGTTTTCTTTCTTGGTTCTCACACAACAAAATTTAAACGCGTGAAATTAAAAATCTGTTGTATGTGTTGTTAAGTTTTGTAAGCCCGCCATTCCCATTGTGTTCCCAAGAAATTTTAACTGTCACTTTCTGATTCGAAGAAAAAGTGTCTCCATTTTGCTTAGTCATTGCTCAAATGTTCAGTTCATAATATGTTCAGAAACCTTCTGTGGAACCAGATTTATTTTGTCTCAAGTTACTTCTTCATCTGTGAGGAGATTGTCCATCCTATGAGCATCGTTTAAAGTGCTTTTAAGCCTCGACTTATACAAGGATACTATCCGTAACAAATGAAAGTGCTTCTGTAGAACCAGATTTATTTTGTTTCCAGTTTCTTCTTCATCTTTGAGGAGATTATCCAGCCTATGACCACTGTTTAGCATATTCCAAGTCTCGACTTATACAAGGATACCATCCGTACAAAATGAAAGTCCATCAGTAGAACCACATTTCTTTTGTGTCATGTTTCTCCTTCATCTGTGAGGAGATTATCCAGCCTATGCCCATTGTTTATGTTTAGCTTGTTCTAAGTCTCGACTTATACAAGGATACCATCCGTACAAAATGAAAGTCCTGTAGAATCAGATTTATTTTGTTTCAAGGTTCTTCTTCATCTGTGAGGAGATTATCCAGCCTATGACCATTGCTTAACTTTCTTCTGAGTCTCGAATTATACAAGGATACCATGCGTGCATAATAAAAGTCCTTCTGTAGAATCGCATTTCTTTTGTCTCATGTTTTTTCCTTCATCTGTGAAGAGATTACCCGGCCTATGCCCATTGTTTAGCTTTCTTCTAAGTCTCGACTTATACAAGGATGCCATCCGTACAAAATGAAAATAGTTTTTTCTGCAGTCTAATGTCTATATTTTATTTCATAATTCAAGACGATTAATAGTAATTATTACTAAGTAATGATATATTTGACAAGTATTGCAACAGAGTTATATTTTCAGAAAAACATTGTTTATAGCGTAGCAAGCTGGGAAATCGGTAACAATATGGTGTTTCATAAAATATCATTTTTTTAAAAGAAAATTTTACAATGTCTCTTCCTTCAGTGTAAATTATACGAACAAAGAGGCCTTGATGGTCAATAATAAGTAATAAAAAGGAAAATAATTATGTTGGAACAAATAAAATTGTGTATGAAACGGGATTGATTGAAGAAAAGAAGGTGAAAAGAAAAACAGAAACTCAGATATGTCATAAATAATCGAGATGATCTACAATCTCGTGAGATACAAAACGAGAAGATAAAACAAAAATGGGACGTCAATTTTCAGAAGAAATATTGCAAATATATTACGTGTCGTAAAAAATAAAGACAAGTCAAAATTTATATTATTTTTTCGTACAATCTTTGGATCTTAAATGTTAATTAACTCGAAATAATGTAAAGTTACTTATCGCAAATATTAATTCACCCCATGAAATTATGAATTTTAAATCAAAGTCGTTTGCATTATGTTGAAACTTGACTATGCATGGAATAATAAGGCAACACAAAAGGTACTGAAATAACAAAATGTATTGAACCAAGAAAGTGTACACAATACTTGCATATAGTCTTTTGTATATTCCTGGTAAGACCGTTCCTGGAGAATGTGTTGACTGAGTCGCAGTCGGGCAGAGTCTCTGGTTGAATCTCTTGATTCCCCTCTCTCTCTTCCCGGTACCAACCATATTTATATGGTCGGTACTCCACTATGCAAATTAGGTGGATCCTACCACAACACATTATTTGCCTTATTCGGACTGTTATCCTCATCTTCATTGCCATATTCACAACGTTTCGGCCGTTGTACGCTCCGCCCTTCTTCAGTTGATTGTAATTTCTAACCGAACACTTTATTTCTACAAAACAATAAATCCCTGATGATGGACATAGAGTAGTTCGTCGAAACGTCGTGTTTCTATTAACATCTATAATAATCAAGTAGAAAAAATGTAAGAAAATTAACAGGTCGAAGAAATGTCACCTTAAGGCTGACGACACAACATGTAAAACGTTGTTTTTACGATTCGGAGAAAAATAATCTTATTGTCCAAAGACAGTTGAATATTAATATTAATTGTGTTTAAATTTAGTGATTTGAATTTTTAAAAGAAGAATATGATTAAAAACAAAAACAATTCTTTTTTATTTGCGAAAGAAAAAGTTACGAAGAAAATAAATAAACAGAGAAAAATGCTTAGGGCAAAGTATTGATGTTTGCAATTCTAATTGCAAAGAGCTGTCCTAAATCTTTGGATGGGGAAAAAAAGCACCGGAAGCAAAAAGTACACTCATTTGACTTTTTCTTCCTGTAAACATCACGCATGCTCAGTAAGTGCACCTTATTCTTTATTCTGACTTTGAAACAATTGGTTTTAGCATACACGCAAACACAAAAAAGTGCGCGTACAGACACGCATATACACATACAGACATACACACATGCACATGTACAAACACCCACACGTATAGGAGAGGGAGAGAGAGAGAGAGAAAGAGAGAGAAAGAGAGAGAGAGTGTGTGTGTGATCGCGGGATTAGCGGTCCTAACTTGTGGTGTGACGCTGTGAATTGCGTTTGCCCTTTTCTAATACCCTAAGCATCGAACAAATTCGTTGCTGCTTTATTTGGGGTCTGCCTTTCGGGGTTTCTTTTTATTTTCTTAGTTTATGTTACATTTTCCCGTTTTCTTGTTTCGTTTCTTTTTTTTTTATTAATCTTTCTTTTATTCGGAGATAGTTTTTCTTTATCTTTCTGTCCATTAAGTTTTAGTTTGCTGTCATTACTGTCTTTCTGTTGGTTGTACCAACTTTTGATCATTTTGCATATACATTGTGGACAAACAATTATTCGTACACAAAATATTTAATTAACTAATTAACTGTACATGGATGAATAGTAACTATATATGCATAGAAAACTGAAAAAATTGATACGAAAGAAATAAATCCAATTTATTCATTTTAATGGCTGAAAAAATGTATTCGTGCAATACAAATTTCAGACATTTAAAAGTTTTAAATTGCTTTAATACTCAAAATTATTCAAGTGGAATCTTTTAGAATGTACCAATAATGTTATCATTAATTATTTTTAGCTCCGAAAATACAAACAGAACATTTTGTAGTTAATATTCGTGCAAGAAGGTTTTCATCATGGCAAGAGGTAAAGAATTGACAAATTCGCAAAAAGAATAAGCTCTTGAAAGAAGGTAAAAGTTACCGGAAAATTTCAGACAACCTGAATATTCAATTTATTACCATGAGTTCATTCATTGCAAGGTATAAAAAAACACAAATCTGTTAAAAACCAAAGAAGAACAGGTTCTCCGTGGAAGATTTCTACAAGATCTTCGAGGAAATTAATGCGTCAAGTTAAACAAAATTTAATGGTTACTCGTCAAGAGTTGCTTGATGATTTACTTTTCATCATGAATCAGTGTCACTAAACGGATAATAAGCAATGAAATTTATAGGAACAATCTAAATCCATACTCCTTCGGAAAACTGCATTGCTGTTGAAAAGACACAGAGATGCCAGGTTGAAATTCGTAAACATAAGGGTAAAGAAAAATCGTATTAGGAAAGAATATTATGGACAGATGAAACCAAAATTGAGTTGTTTGGACGTAATTCTAGAAATCATATTGTTATAGTGGAACACACCTATTCTATAGTTAATAGACTCTCCCAGCTATAATAAGTAGGAGTAGTAGTAGTAGTAACGAGTTAGTCGCTGAGTGGGTCGGTCTGAGTTCAGTCTGAAGTCGGACGACCGGCTGACAGGTTGAACTCTCTGCCTTCAGGCGGGGAGGAACCCGAACGAGGCTACGCCGAAGGGCGGAGTCTCTTTCGGGGAGGCAAACCGACCCTGAACCCGTTTATACGGGTTCAAATGGGCATATTTTGGGCCGAGTCACGGGCTCGGAGATCCCACGTTAAACCGGCCTTGTGCCACATGATGCCCTCGTCGTTGACTGAATACCGTCACTGAGTAGGTCAGTCCGTCAGTCGATGCCGGACGACCGTTAGTCGGATATTAAAGTATCAGCGACCGCAACTAGATTACTCTGCGTAATACCTATTATACCAAGTTCCTAACGTTTTGTACGTCGAACCTATTTTAAGACCGACTTAGTACGAATACAAGGCTCCACTGTGAAATCACTCCACAACACATATATAGAGGAAGTACTGTGTTGGCAGCATCATGGTTTGGAGATGTTTTTTCTGTAAAAAGGTACTGGTACCATATTTATAATAGATGGTAGAATGAATGCCGCAGCATATCAAAATATTTTGGAAACAAATTTAAGGATTTTGGTTGAAAAGATTGAACTTTCTACTGATTGGATCTTTCAACAAGATAATGATCCTAAGCACACTTCAAAATCTACGAAGAAATGGCCCTACTGAAGATAATGTAAATATCCTGAAATGTCCAAGTCAGACCATATTGCGAAGAAAATGGAACAAAATACCAAATAAATGTGCAAACCTTTAATTGAGAACTACAAGTAGGGGTTGGTTGCTGTAGAAGGGAATAATGACCATTCTACAAAGATTGTGTATTCTTTTTTGCATTGTACGAATACTTTTTTCACACATTAAAATGTAAAAATGGGATTTATTTATATTGAATCAAATATTTTCTGTTTTCTGTTCATATATAATTATGAAACTGTGTACAGTTAATTATATGAAAAAGTATGTTTATTCATTAGTTAGAAATACAATACATTAAAAAATTGTATGTATACGAATAATTGTTTCACCACAGTGTATATATATATATATATATATATATATATATATATATATATATATTTAAGCATTTCATCCCAAGCAAGGCGGGAAGCCACTAGGAAGCAAGAGGTTACAGAAAATTTAGAGCAAGATCAGATAGGAGTGATAGAAGAAAGGATGAGGAGAAGGATAATGGATAGATCAAGGCAACTGGAGATGTCGATTGACATTACACTTGAATAGCTGGAGATTATAGCTCACAGGGAAACAGGAGAAGGGAAGGGAGTTCCACGGGCGAGAGGTGCGAGACATGAAGCTATTAGAGTAGAAGAGACGGCTACATTTAGGAGTTTCGACAGTGAGGGGGTGAGAGCGGGATGCCAGCCTCGTAGGGCGCTGGAACTCATGAAGTCTGGGAACAAGCGAATGCAGCTTCTCGGAGCTATTTCCATGAAACTATTTGTAGAACAGACAGAGGGATGTGTGTGTGTGTGTGTGTGTGTGTGTGTGTGTGTGTGTGTGTGTGTGTGTGTGTGTGTGTGTGTGTGTGTACGTACATGGTTAAATAATATAAACACGTTATTCACAACTATCAATTATATTCATTTTTTTTGTCTTAGCAATTTACACCTGAAGATTATCTAGGGTGAGATTAAAGTATTTTGGAAAATAAAAGACAATGCATTAAGGCAACCTATCTTCATTCAAGTATTTTTCGTTGAATAATCTAAACATATTCTGTCTAGTTTTATTTTAATCCTCTCAGATTCATGGATCAATTTCTTTATGTTGCTATTAAACCCATTAACAAGATAAAGAAATTGATCCATGATTTTGAGAGGATTAAAATAAAAATATGTCTAGATTATTGAATCAAACAAACTTGAATGAAAATATGCCGCTTTTATATATATATATATATATATATATATATATATATGTATGTATGTATGTATTAAATTGTACAACAGAGAAATTCAAAATTACCTCATGGGTATAGTCTATTTCAACCGACGCCGAGTACGTCAGTCTTATTCAACCCAGACGGTTTTTTGTTTGGTTTGGTTGTTTTGTCTGACGGCATACCACCCTCAATGGGTTATTTAGTGCCGACAAGATTTTTATTATTGCTAATACTTTTTATCTATCTATCTATCTATCTATCTATCTATCTATCTATCTATCTATCTATCTTACTGTCTGTTCAAGTCTATACATATCTATCTATCTATCTATCTATCCCAGTATATATTGGTTTGGTTTGTGTTGTTTTATAGCATACCAACCTCAATGTGTTATTTAATATCGACAAACGTTTTATTGATGGTAATACTTCCTATCTATCTATCTATCTATCTATCTATATATATATATATATATATATATATATATATATATATATATATATTTTCTTTGAATGTCTGTTTTTTATTCAAACATATCTGCTCTGAATTTTACATTGAGCTCTCTGGATATCCTCTTCCTCAGGTCTACACATACGGACTACCTAAGTTTGCATAAACTAAATATATATATATATATATATATATATATATATATATATATATACCATTCTTTAACCATTTAACGTTTATTATTACATAACGAGTTACCTGTGTTCCTCTGTTACACATTAATTTTTGACATTTTTTTTTAATTTTTTTACACTAACCCCCTACCTAAAATCTATTTTCTGTATTTACACCCCAAAATTATATTTTGCTCATTTTAGATTTAAGCAGTGAATCTACTTTCAGTTTAACTTTACTCCCATGTGACAAGTAATTTTTTTTTTAAATCGAAACAAATAATTCATGCCTGATGAGTTGGTAGAACAACGAAACTTAAGTTGCATTTCGAACGTAGGTATATGCATATTTATTGATATATACTTTTCCGCTCTGTCTAACGACAATTAGTACTGTTTTGTGTACACCTTAAATTAAATTGTGTAAATATTTATTCCCTTAACTGTGTATACAGGATAACGCGTGTATATACAATTGCTGATATCTAGTTATTTGATTTACCCTCCCCTATACATACCACACACACACACACACATATATATATATATATATATATATATATATATAATTATTTTCTATTTTAAAAGTATGGTTCATCGCTACACAGGAATTACCATGTTTAAAACAGAAACTATAATTTTAAATTTAATTATAAAATTAATTTTAAAATCCATAGCTCCGTTCCATTCTCAAGCAATAAATTTCTTAATAGGTTATTCCAAATGTCGCTTGATAATGGAGCGATTTCAATTCATAATTAAATTTAAAATTTTAGTCTCTGTTTTGAAACCTTGTAATTCCCGGGTAGCGAGGGAACCATATTTTTAAAATAGAAATTAATTATAATATTAGGCTCTGCTGTTTTGTATCGACCACCGTTTTTGAAAAATAAAATAATTACTAAGAAAACCGGATTGTAATTCTTACTGTTTTTCGTATTATTTTAATATATATATATATATATATATATATATATATATATAATTTAATTTTTTATTCATTCGGAATTACGTCAGCTTACTTAGATTTTTATCGACCCATTCTTTACAGATTTCTATAAAGTAGAAATGCAATTTTTCTTGCAGCTATTTTGTTGATAAAAGGGCAAACCGAATGAGATTTTGTCAACATATTCTGCTGACATTTGTTCGTTGGCTAAATAATTGAAGCCGATTGTCAGAGAAATTTGATTTTAAAAAAAGTACGATTTCAATCATAAGGCGAGATTTCCACTCAAATTTCTATGATTATTTTTTTTTAAAGCATTACGCCCCGAGCAAGGCGTGAAGCCACTAGGATGCAGGAGGTTGCAGAAGATTTGGAGCAAGAGCAGATAGGAGTGATAGAAGAAAAGATGAGGAGAAGGATAGTGGATAGATCAAGGCAACTGGAGATGTCGATTGATATTACATTTGAATAGTTGGAGATTATAGCTCTCAGGGAAACAGTAATTGGGAAGGGTGTTCCACAGGCTAGAGGTGCGATGTATGAAGCTAGAAGAGACGGCTACATTTAAAAGTTTCTACAGTGTAGCGGTGGGAGCGGGATGCCAGCCTCGTAGGGCGCTTGAATTCATGGAGTTTGGGAACCAGTGAAAGCAGCTCATCGGAGCAATTACCATGAAAGTATTTGTAAAAAAGTCAGAGAGAGGCGACGGCACGTCTGTGAGAGAGCGACTGTAGACGAGATGCCAGATCAGGGCCAATTATATTACATATCCGCCTCTGGATTTTATCAAAACCCCGAGGCAAACAGTAGGTGCACCAGACCATATATGGCAGCAATACTCCATGCAAAGGCGATTGGTTGATTTTTATATTTGAAGTATCGATTTCGGGGAGAAAAATTTCCTGGCGCGGCACAGAGAGCCAACTTTCCTCGCGGTGGACGAAGCAATTGACTCAATGTATTTGTTCCATCTCAGGTCAGCAGTCAACGTGAGACCGAGCAGACGCAGGAGTTGCTCTCAAGAAGTTGACTATCAGACATTCTAAGGGGGGAAGGAAGGATCTCTATGGTGATTAATAGGAGTAGTTTAGTTTTGAGGCGTTAAAGTTGACCAGCCAATTCTTGCCCCAATTAACAACCGATTGGAGGTCCATTTCAAGACACACAGCCAGGTTAGTTTTGTCAGCGACACTAGATTTGTTTTGAGGCAGGAGTAATTGTAGTGTCTTCCGCGTAGATGCCAACTTAAATCTATGGCGTCAGGAAGGTCGTTGATGAAAATAAGAATAGAGTGGGGCCAAGGATGGAGCCTTGGGGAACACCTGCGTTCGTGGGAAAGGATTATAGTTATGTTTGTCACTCCCTCCTTTCGTTAGTTAGTTTGGTTCTTTGAAGAAAGACAGAATTGTATAAAGAAAGAAAGAAAGAAAGAAAGAAAGAAAGAAAGAAAGAAAGGAATAAAGAAAAAAGTAAACAGAAAGACAGACAGAAAGAAAAACAGAAACTAATACATAAAATATCTGTCTGTATTTCTGAGATGTACGCTTCGGCCTTCTTCAGCTTTAGTTCGACATTCCAACCACCTGAAGAAATCCGAAGCGTACAACGACCAAAACATTGTAATAAATATGGCGACAAAGATGAGGACAATAGTCTGAATAATGTAAATAATGTACATAAATAAAGAAAGAAAAAAGAAAGAAAAACAGAAAGACAGAAATAAATAAATAAATATATAAAGAAACCAACAATGCATTGAATAATTCTTTCAGTGAAATGAAAAATTTCATCAGCTTTTAATCATTTCCTATGTATCCTCTTTCGTACTTTTAGATGATAATGCTCTCATGCATTTAATGACTGCTTCAGTGAAATAGAAAAACCTTATCAAATTTTTATTTGTACCCTCTTCTTTAATGACCTACTTTTAAACATGATTGTTATTGCAATACTTTCAGTAAGTTATTAAGTTCAAATATTTAAAGGTGCTATAAGGGAATTTCTACGGATATTTTATTCTCGTAGAACCCACTATGAGCTTATTCAATCATTGACGTAAGAATTAAAATTCATCAGACAATTTAAATAGGAAAACCGTGAAATTTTCCTGAGTAATTCTAGTCTAATAATAATACAATACTAGACTGGATTATTGGATTATTATATAATACAGTGTTAGATAAGAGGATCGTATTAAAATATTGTCAATTTCAAATCTTCTCCTGTCTACCCCCTTACTTAAAATAACGACCTGCTTTCTGATTGCTATTGCAATGTTTTGCTATATGAAGCTCAAATATGTAACGATAGGTTAGGCGAATTTCTACGGATATTTTATTGTCGAACATTTCGCCATGAGCTGAAGAATTAAGATTCATCAGAATATGAAAATCGAAAAGCCTTGAAATTTTCACGGGTATTTCCTGTAAGACAATAGTATAATACTAGACTAGATCATTGTATTATTATTGTTGTAACCTAGGGAAAGTTACTGAATAGAATAATCGCACAGAGGTTGGTAATGAACGATAATACTTAGGACAAGAACAACGCATATAAGATTCGCCAGCGGCGCTTAGATGCACTCAAATCCGAGAAGTGAGTCAAGTGAATTCCACACTGAATCTCCAATTGCAAGATATCTACCAACCACCACGTCAGATGTTGCACAAGTTGGAATTTAATGCGAGTTAACGAGCCCGCAGGCTCAGCCAAAAATTCCCCGTAGACCCTGTATAAAACGGGGTCGGGTAGGTGTTTCCGAAGACGAGAGACTGTCCTTGTCTGTGGATTTTGACCAGCATAGCTGAAGACGAATCTCCAACTGCAGGATATTTACCAACCACCCCACTCGGTCAGATGTGGCATAAGGCCAAATTTAATATGGGGTATATGAATTTATTTTCGAGGTGTATGGTGTAATTTGTAGGTTGGATCATTACTATATGTTCTGAAAAGGAAAAGCCCCGAAGGGACTTGAGCAAATTTTTCCCGGTGTTGCCATTAATCCCAGACCTTGCGTCAAATACGGTAGCGATGTGACCGCGCGGAAAAAAATAATATATTACCGGGTGTAAACGATCAATTATGACTGAGTTGGGAGTTCGATCCTCAGGAATGCTCCACACATTTGGCCTTGTGCCACACATCGAAACTACATTTAGAAATTAGAAATACTCCCCCAGATTCGCCCGAGTAGTTTAATCTCTCAGGCAGTACCTCACTTTCGGGAGGTGGGTTGGGTCATTAACAGGTGCTCTCAAAAGAAAAATTACCGAAGGAGCTCGAACAATTTTCACACGGTATTGCCTTTTAAACCGGTAGCGAGGTGGACGCGCTGAATATATATATATATATATATATATATATATATATATATATATAATTAAGTTATGAAGAACTTGGTAAACCGAATGGGTAATTCCAAGGAGGATGAAATCCAGAGAGCCTCAATGTGAATACAGAGCTAATATTTAATGAAAAACAGACCACTTTAAGGTACCATTACAATAATTTATTTCACCAAAATACTTTTTAAGGGACTCCGGATCATCAGGTAACACTTCCAACAATGGAAAAAAAAAAAATATATATATATATATATATATATATATATATATATTACCGGGTGTAAAAATTATAGCTGAGTAGTGAGTTCAATCGTTATTTGTTGCTTCAAACCTATGACATTGTGCCACGTCTAAGCTACGCTTAGAAAATGAAATACTCCTCTCTGCTTCGGCTGTGGTACTTTCAAAATAATATTT